TGACGCTTAGCCCATTCACACTTCTTTGGATTTAACTTGAGTTTTGCTTCTCTCAATTTATTTAGCACAAGTCGAAGGTGCTCAGCGTGCTCCTTTTCATTTTTGCTAAAAATTAAAATATCGTCTAAATAAATCACAACAAATTTGTCGAGCCATTCACGAAAGAGTTCGTTTATCATTCTTTGAAAAGTAGCAGGGGCATTCGTTAGACCAAAGGGCAAAACTACGGATTCATAATGCTTATACCTTGTTCTAAAGGCACTCTTGTGTTGGTCTTCCGGCTCCACCTCAATCTGATGATAGCCGGATTTCAGATCAATCTTTGAAAATATTTTGCTTCCCTGCACGCGATCTAGCAAATCGTCTATTCGCGGTAATGGTTCGGCATTTTTCACTGTTATATCATTTAACCTCCTATAATCTATACACATGCGAACGCCGCCGTCCTTTTTAGGCACAAAGAGCACAGGCGCACCATAGAACGAAGAGCTAGGTCTTATCCAACCATTTTTTAACAACTAGTCGAGTTGGGTTCGCAGTTCATCCAATTCCTGGGGCGACATACGATAGATAGGCCCCTTCGGGGGCGCGCGCCCTGGAATGATATCAATGTGGTGGAGGATTGTTCTTTCCACCACACCACTTGGGGCTTCTGCCACATCTGCGAACTCTTTCAGGATTCTCTCAAGCTCTTGAGTCCTGACTTCTTCTTTAGTTTCTCCTTCCTTTACTGGGCGCACATATCCAACAAAGACTTGGTCATACAAATTATGCTTCTTCACATGACGGGCGAACGYGGGGGCACTCATACAACAATGAGCCAGGCTGCTTTCCTTACCAGATTCATGAAAAAGGCGGATTTTCTTCTTACCTCCTTGCGGACTTGGAAGCCAACATTCACGTTCTCTTAACTTTAAATCCGCATGCGCASCCTCACCCCAATCCATGCCTAGTAACACATCAAAGGGCAAGTTATCCTCCACCAAGAAGGTCAGAGAGTGGAGAACACGTTCCACCTTCCCCTCTGCCTCCAGCCGAAAGTATACTTGTACCCCTTCGACGTAGCGATCCATAATGGTTTCACTACCATTTGCTAACATACTTGCAATGGGCTCACTTAACTTCTTAACCTTAAGCCCAAAACGTAGTTTTTGTAATCCTCTTTTACTAATATAACTGCGTGTAGACCCGCTGTCTATCATACCTCCTACTCTTGTTTGGTTTACTTCAAGATCAGCAATTATTAACTGTCCTTTCTTTTTTCGCATTTCAGTCCACGCTTGGCGAGGAGCGGCCAACTCATCACCCATGCCAGCGAGGGATCCATCTAGAGAGATGCATACRTTTGCCACCTCTGGACAGTGTACTAGATGGGGACTTCCTTCCTCTTCAGTTTCTGCCGGTAGAGCCTTCAACTTGGAGGATTCTGATTTTTCAACAGTCAAAGCTCCGGTAGAGGCAACTGACACTGGCTCTTCCCTTTTGCCCCCCTATAATCAGGGCAATAGGGGACAATGTGGTCGGGGTCCCCACATTTGAGGCATTGATCTGCCTTCTTTCTT